TCCCTCTCTCTCTCTCTCTGTGGGGAAGAGGAGTTTTTAATCCAAGTGGATTACGTTGCAAATTGGGTGACAGTGGAGGCGAGCGGCTGCAAAATCTGCAGACTGCCGGCTTTCTGTCTTCCTAAATAAACGCAAGGTGGAGAAATTAACCCACTTATTAGTCCTGGTTTCAAGGAGGAGCAACCTGGAAGAACCTGGAAAACCCTGGAAGAACCTGGAGGAAACGTATAGAGTCTCTGAGAAGAACTAGTTTTCATCTTTAACCTCAAGAAGTTTCTTTCCTCTTCTTGCACCAAAACTAGATTTCACCTCTCCGTCGGTTTGTCCTGGAGGACGTTAAAGCCATCAAACATCATCTGGAAGTTTCTTCAAACAGGATGAGAAGCTAAACCAGGAAGCAGCGAGAAGATGCCGGCAGCAGGACGAGTTTACCTGGACGTGTCGGAGAGCATTCGGGGTCGTTGTCCGCTCGCCGTCTCCCCCTCGCTTTAGCCAACATGAGGAAGCCGTTTCCCACAGACTCTTTATGATCCTGTTGAACTTTCAGAGCCGATACCAGTTCACAAAAATAACTGCCGCCAAAATTTTTAGTTGAACGCAGGATGGAGGGCAGGATGCCGGGAATGAGGAAGCTCCTGGGGATTCTGGGATTTTTCTGCCTGTGGATTACAGCTCAGGCTCAGATGAAGATCCCACCGGAGACGTAAGTGTCAAACCCAAACAGCGTGTTCACCCTCAGGGTCTTTTAGGGCTTTTCATCATTTTAGATACACATTAGACTCATATTAGATCTTTGGAAACATTCTGAACTCCACAACATACGACGATACGACTGAGACGCAGATATGTATCGGTGTGTTTTTATTAGCGTATAAATCACTCTGATATAAGATCATAAGATTTAGATTGAGACGTTTGTGTCTACACTCTGGTCCTTTAATGCAGTCGTTTACAACCTGTTATCATTATCATTGACTAAACTGAAGACCTTTCAACCTTACAGACTGGCTGTTGTTCTATTAGACAGTTTACAT